CACCCTGAAGTAATGTAGCACACACCATTGATCTGTCGACAAAATATTTGATGCGGAAGTGACTTGTCTTCTTGTCAACCGCAAAAAAAATATTGAAATATATTTTTGTAAATTTTTTTTAAGGTATTTTAATTTGAACCATGTACAAACGTTCACGCAAGTGATGATAGTTTTTGAGTGCCATTCACCTGGAAATCTTTTGCATAAGGTTCCAGCAGCTCACGACTTGCGCTCTTAGACAAGTATTCCCTGGGGAGCCATCTAACATCCGTTACGAGGCGAGCTAAAGTGAGAAAGCGAAGCCCATCAGGTAATGCGGGTTGGAACCCACCAAATAAAAACCTTGACCCATTGAAAAATATAAATAAGCCTTGGATGAGACACACCTTTTTTTTACTATTCCCTAAAATGTTTAAAGGATTACGTTTTGAGGGCATGCACCTAGAATGACTGATCCCTCAATTGAGAAGGTGCCGCTGCCCAGCTGTTACCCATCACCGCCGTCCAAAAGATGCGATGGATGGGACAAGGACAGAAGCAGGTGCGACTTTGTGATATTTACTACAGCGACCATATAAAGGAGTACAAGTCGCAAAGTACTGGCATTCACTGCGTTGGATGAACGTTTTGCCACAATCCGCATCAACATTAAATTTTTAACACCATGCTGATTTGCGCCCACCCCCGAAGAAAAGGACGATGTCACCAAGGATGCCTATTAACGAGCGCCTCGAATACACTTATTACCGCTGCCCATGCAACGGCATCAAAATTGTGTTTGACAATTTGCAGAGAAGGTATTTTCGGGACAACAGTCGGAAAATTCATCCTCCACGATGGAACATACCCAAATGAGCTGAGGCTGATCGACTTCGCCGGGGCCTGTAATATGGTTGTCTGTAGCACACACCACAATACGTGCGGGGTGGGCTAAATTTTATTTTATTATATTTTTGTTTAATTGAATTTCTTTTATTAGATTTTACATCATATTATTTTAATCGTTTTTAATTCTTTGTATTTTTTTATTTTTTATTTTTATATTTTTATAATTTATATTGACCCTTTTTATTTGATTTTAGTTTATGTTATTTATTTGTTATTTTATACCGTTTAATATCTTTTCATGTTATTTTCTTTTAATTAATATTGTTTCTTCCCAAATTTTATTTTTTTTATAGTTCAATTTTCTTTTTATTTTAATTTTTTCATTCTATTTAATTTTATTTCATTTCAATTTTTTTATTACACTTATGTTATTTTATTGCTTTTATCTTATTGTCGCTTGTTTTGCATAATTTAATTTATTTTAATGTTATTTATTTTTATATTAATTTCATTTTATTTTAATTTTCCTAATTTTACTTTACAAAATTTTATTTAATTTTTATTATTTATTTTTATTTTATTTATTCTGTTTGTGTTATATTTTCATGTTATTGTTATTCCTCTTTATTTTATTTTGATTAGAATTATGGTTTTAATTTATTCCAACTATTTTTCGTACTGTTTTTTAATATATATTTTTTTTAATATTTAATATCATCGAGATTGCATTAAAATGCAATGCATCCAAGCATCACAATAACAATTACCCACTAACCGAATTATAGTGATGCTGATGATGTCACTATTACCTGCTCTAAAAATTATTGCTTAATGAATGTTCATGCATTTCATTGTATACCATCTTACAATTAGCAACATCGCCGCATTCCACTTTTCGTACACGACAAGCATACATACTTCCATATGTTACTCACATACATTCGTACATATACTCGTACACAAACATATCTATAGTTAAGCACACTAAAACGAATTTGGAATGTTAGCGAAGAAGATAAATAAAAATGTGTATAAATCCTTTACCAGGTTGTCATCAAACTAGTGTACATACATATATACGAGTATGCATTTATATAGTATTTTTTTATTTATGTGATGTCATAACAAATGTCGTGCAACATTATTTAATTAGTTGATGACATTTTTTGCTGCAGCTAGTTTCATTCGCTTTGAAGATCTGCGAAAATGCAATTTTTATACATAAATATTGCGGACAAATGCAAAGTTCATACATAACTATGTAGCTTAAAAATAAGATTATGTGTGTGTGTTTTTTTTTTAAACGTGTGTTTCGTTATTGCATTTTAGGAATTTGTGTTTGTATTGCATTTTGTTGCCAGTCTGTCAATTAAAACCAATGACATCAATCAAGTAATTACAAATAATTTGAAAATAGTTTTGGTTTGTTTACTGAACAGTTATTTTTAACTACTTAAATTGATAAATATTATAATATCAGCATGTATGCATACGTATATCTGATCGGGGGGAATAAGCCGTGACAACTCTCACTTTCTTCAACTAAGAGCCTTTAAAGTGTCATCAAAACAAAACAGATAAAATGAAAGAAATGAGTAAAAAACTGAAAGTAGATTCAAGAAAGTTTTTAAATATGATATCAAATAGCTTCTGCGTACTTATACCTTCCTCTAATATGCCCATGGAAATTTGATATCTCAACGCCACGCTCCAAATGCTCTTAATTCTCAATGATTTTTCTTTGGAACTTTCCCTTTTCAATTTCGGTTAAATTTTCTACCTTCGTTACTTTGTTTTCTCTACTTTTTTTAGTTATATCACTTCGTTATGTGTCTTGTGTGTGTATAATTTATATATGTACACAAATATTTGGAAAAAAGAATAACTTTTCGAAGTCACTAGTTGGCGACGATAAATGCAATTATATAGTACACATATTTAGTTAACTTGAAAGTGACAAATAACAAAATATATTTAGACCACACAGAATAGCATGTGTGGCTTTCACTATTCAATATTATATTATATTTCATTATATTTGTATATTCTGATCAAACTAAATATTTTAAAAATAAAAATTTTTATCACCAAAAAAAAATATTATTACGTATAAAGAATATCTAAGTGCAAAATTTAAGTGATAAAATTTTATCAAAAAATTTTAATGTGCTGAATAATAAAAATTAAAAAAAAAATATTTAAAAAAATATTAATATTAAAATTATTATTAATTAATATAAAAAATATGAATTCGTTAAAACAACACAAATGTAGGTACGTAACTATATGTGTGCCTATTTAGTATACTCAACTAATGAAAATGTTTTTTTTCAAAAATATGTATTTATGTATTGTACTTATATCCATTTCCATTTAAGAAAAAACGTTTCGCTTAGCTGACTTTGTCATCGAAACCCTATATGTAAATACACATATACATACACTATATAAACGGAAAGTCTAGTAAAATTATGATAATGTATATAATATTGCTGGCAGTTGACAGTTGGATGGCATGCACTTATGGTTAAAAATCCGAAAAAAGCAGGATGAGCAATAGCATTAAAAACAAAATAGCAGAAATGAAGCCTCATTAGAAGAATAAAATGACAATATGTTCAATGAAATTGACAGTTGTTTAATTTTCGCATATGGGACACATCTTTTATGATATATTTTTTAGACATTCGACTTACGACGGGAAAATTGGTACGAAAGTCACATTTAATCAACGTAATAATATATCCTTTATTTTATTTTGTTTAATAATTCAAATTTCTCGTATCTTATTGTGTTATATTTTAATTCATTTAACTTCATTTCCATTTCTTTGTACATTATTTAAGGTTATTTTCATTCATTTAATTTTATTTGTTTTATTTTACTTCGTTTATTTTAATTAATTATATTTCATTTTTTTTATATTTTATTTTAAATCTTTTATTTTATTAAATTCTAACTAATATTTTTTTGTAATTATTTTATATTGTTTTTTTTTTAATCTTTTTTTATTTCATTTTATTTTAATTTAATTCTCTGTTATTAATGTATTTATTTCTCATTAGTAAAATTTTATTTTGCTTTACTTAATTCAGTTTTATATTATTTCATTTAATTTAATACATTTTAATATTTTATTCTGTTTTATTTAATTAGATTTTTTTAAATTATTCTATTTTTATTTGCTTTAATTTGACTTATTTCAAAGGTTTTGCTTTATTCTCATACATATTATTTTATTTTATTTTATTTTCTTATGTTTAATGTATATAAAATTAATTTATTTTACTAACTGAAATTTACTTATTTTATTTTTTGTTTATTTAATTTTATTTTGTTTTATTTAATTTTAACTTACATAATTTTACAGTATTTTATTTTTTTATGTATTAGATTTCATATAATTTTATATTATTTTCTTTTTATATTTTCATTATGCAAAGTTTGCATATAAATATGTATGTATTCAATTTATTTTATTTTATATTTTGTTTTTTTTTTTTTTAATTATATTTTGTTTTATTTAATTTAGTTGTGTTTTGTTTTATTTCATTTTAACTTATATAATTTTACTGGATTTTATTTGTTTTATGTATTAGATTTCATATATTTTGCTTATTATTTTTTTATATTTTCGTTATCTTACTTTGGTTTACATTATAGTGTTTTATTATATTAAAAATTATTTTTATATTTTTTTTTTGTATCATATAAAAATATATAATTTCAAATTTCTATTTATTTCTCTTTTCTACATTTTTTATTCTTTTGTTTTCTTTTATTTTTTAAATCATATTATTTTTTTTTTATTATACACTAGCTGATCCCGCAGGCGTGGGAAATTATCTCTTTGAAAAGAGAAGAAAGTTGAATTTATATCATATAGATCATTTATTTGCGATTTGCCGCTTAATAAAAAACCTTTTTTTTGTTTGCTGCTTCGGTGCGTAAATGCATAGCAGATGGTTTTCCAACACGTGGGCACGCCACACCCTGGTCGTGTGAAAAACATGGCATTTCCAGCCTTATCACCTCAGCCTCACGCTTTCAGCGACTGCCCCTTTGACTTATTGACTGTCGTATTGAATATATTTTACTAACCATCTTTTATATATTTTTTTAAATTTGGAACTTTCGAATTTTCAGATTTTTTCATTTCTGTATCTTCACAGATTCACAACGAACAGCCTCTAGAAGTTTCATCATGTTTCAGGTTAGTCCAGCCGTTATCGAGCCGTACCGTCACCAACAAACTAACTTCTTTTATTTTGTTTGATATTATTTTAATTTGTTTTATTTTATTTTATTTATTTGAATTTATACTGCCTTTTGTTATATTTAATTACTCATTTTGTGTTATTCAATTTAATGTTATTTAATTTATTTTACATATTATTGTTTTTATTTATTTTGTATTAATTTTTTATTTTAATTTTATTTTTTTTTTCATGTAATGATGCTTAAATTACTTTATTTTATTGCGATTTTTTTGTTTGTTATTTTATTTTGATTTATTTTCGATTTTTTTTTTTTTGTTATTTGCTTTATTTTATTTTTTATTTATTTTCTAATTATTTTATATTAATTATTTGATTTATATTATTTTTATTCAATTTATTATTATCTTTTTTTGTTTAAGTTATTACTATTTATTTTATTTTATTTTTAATTTGTTTGTTGTTATATTTTTTGATTTTATTTTATTTTACATTTTGTGTTTCATTTCATTTGATTGGATTATGTATAGAAATATTTTATTATATATTTTATTTTATTGTTATAATTATTTTCATTCAATTGCTTTACAGTGACGTAATTTTTATTTTATATATTATGTACCTTCATTATTGAAAAATCCTCGATGCATAAAAATATATGTATTATACATGCCCGCGTCGTAATCTGATCGCGTGTGTCAGTTCTGATGTGAAAAATGTTTCGCTGACCCGTATTTAACCTGACAATGCGGTATATTCATATGGCGCACACATGACAACAAGGACAGTAGTAACAACAAGTAATAAGACAATGCTATTATTTGTTAATATATGCATATATATGTACATATGTATTTATGCTTGTATAATTTAAGTCGCCTGGTCGGTAACACGGGCACGTGTAATTCAATGCGACTGACATATTTTCTATGTTTTTTTTTATTTTTCGTTCCAACTAAATATTGCGCACGAGTACTTTAGAACGTGTATGATAAATAACCAGTAAGAAATTGAATATTGAATACAACCAAATTTCATGAACCTAAGACCTAGCAAATTTGAAGTGCCCGCATAGCATGGCGATCTCCGCACTGATTGGGGTCCAGAGGGAGGTTCAATAAAGTTTGATACTTATACTCATACTTTTAGGCACAAGTGTCCAATCATATCTATCATAGGTTCAGAAAAAGGCTGATCGCCACATAACAGATCTCCCAATTTATATTTGTGTATATTTCTTTTACTAGAAAAAAATTCTCTGTAACTTTAATAACCCTTTAAAGTTTAATTAGCAATAGTCCATAATTAAATAAAACATAACCTCTAATATATAAAATAAATTACACTCGCTGAAAAGAGAACAGCAGAATAGATGATTATTTAAATTCGCATACAAGAACTTATAGTTAGTACTCTACTTAACAGATATTAGTAGTTTTATTTTTCTCCTGTCCTACGGGGTTACTCTTCATACATACATAAATTTACATGTGAGTACGTTTGCAAGTGGAAGAAGCAGTTAAGTGTGCAGATGGCACTGAATTTCGTAGAAAATAATCTTCAACTGCTACTGGCACTGGCACTGGCACTGGTTGTCAGTGAAGCGTACTGAAGATGCCTCTGAAGTACGTGTAGCGGAATGTTGGTTAAATTGATATACATTTGCATGCCACTATATGAGTAACATACGCTGTACAAGTAGCCGAAAACCACCTTATGGAGCAGACATTGAGACGGCAGATAATAATGATGCGGTCGAAACATGTGCGTAAGAGAATAAAATGCACGTTGAGAGATTTAAAACAAAAGAAAAGTGTAAGAAAGTTTTAAATAATTATACCTTTCATTGTATATTAATTTTATCCTGAATTATGTAAGCACCAGAAGGAAAAGGGTTATACCCATATCCACCGATCGAGTCAGGATGACGAGCTGAGTGGATTTAGCTACATGTACATCTGTGTGTATTTTTGTACGCCCAACCAGTCCTGCAGGTTCTTATTCATTTTAACTAAATTCCGTACCCTTGGTGAGCTGGTATAAAGGATTTTCCAATAACAGGTGTTATTTTGAATAGCCAGCTACCAACACTACACCAACGCATAGAGATTATAAAAATTGATTGTAAAAACTTCATCAAAAAATCATCTTGACTGATGACGCCCACTTTCACCTCGATTACTACGTCAATATGCAAAACTTTCTCATCTGAAGCTCGGAAAATCAAAGATTTATTGTTTAAATGACGCCTCCATCTTCAACGTGTAACTGTTTTCATATTAAAGTTTTTGAGTCAAAAATTAAAAAAAAAAAAACACAAGAACGTACTCCAGAATTCTTCTGTGTGTGTTACTTCTCTGCAGCATGACTAGGTATGCAAAAATTCTAGTCGCTCTAGCGCATTGGGCTCACAGTTTGAGTCTTGCTGCACTCAAGTTCTGATCAAAATGGTCTAGTATATAACCAGTATGAAGCTGATGCATAGCCATGGCATAACAGGCAAAGCCCAAGTCGAGAAAAAAGTAATAATGAAAATAAAATAACTGTCATTGCGATTGTGTACAAAGTGCTTCACTTTGTTACCAACTAGTATTTTTTCCTGCAGGGTTATACGTAGGTGCTGATTATCGAAATGGAAAGACTACAGCATATACATCCCATACGCCGATTTGTTCCAAAATTAGTCTTTTATCAGAACTCTATCTAAAAACCGTCTAAGAGCCTGATTTTTGGTATGAAAAATTTCTATTTACAAATAAACATATTATATAATCCCAAATTAGTTGTTGTTTACATATGTATATAAAGTTTTTGGCTGAAACACTGTCGAACCAACTTTTCTGGTATGAAAATTTATATCTTATCCTAAAATGAAATACCATAAGTTTGATATGTTCATGTAAGGTATAAAGACTGTCGAACATTTTTTCTTCTTTTCTTGTTTATTTCTATTTTTATTTTTCCTTAAGAAATTTAAATTTTTCGAACGAAAGCATATGCAAAAGGCAGCCAATTTGATATGCAAAACACACATTCTTACATACATACGTATGCATTTCAATAAGCAAACTTAATTATTTATGGTTCTCCATGCCTTTGAAAATATCAATTTTTTTGCAATATATCTTTTTTCTGCCTCTACTCTCCTCTTGCTCCACGCATCACTTGCTTGCCTTTGTGCTGCTTTTCGTCGCGAAATAATTGCATTCAAGCAATATAAATGACATTTATTTATTTTTCGTTACGCCTACAATGGCATTCAGAATCGCCACTGTCACAATTCATAATTTTACTCAAGCCCAAAAACAACAACAACAAGATCGTCGTAATATAAGGAAAGCGAGCAATAAAATTATAAAAGAAGCTACGAAAAATGTGTCTGCGAAGTTTCTGCACAAATAACAACTGTGTCTTTCACTTGGCAATCGTAACCACAGCCAGCTACAGCCAACAACAACACTCTCCTACAAACTCACTCCGCCTGCTAGGGTGGGTAGCTGGGCAAATTGCCAAAGAACGGCCAAAGATGCACTTTTTTCTTAAAAAAGATTTCAAAGTCACCATTTAACAATTGCCTAAGGCGCTGGGAAAATTTACAACTATTTTTTCCGTTTTTTCTTTTTTAAGAAAAATAAACTAAAAAGTATATAAATGAAATAAAATGCTGATTTACTCACTTACTTAACGAATGAAGTCTGTTACACAATACCCTCGCTTTGTAACTATTTTGATTTTCTTCCTCTTTGTCATACTTTTTTATTTCATTTTATTGTATTTTTTTTTTGGTGAAAAACCACAACCACAACTTACTTATTACAATAGAAATAATGACATTCGATGGGCCAAAGTGTCAGGCAGTTGTTGGTTGCATGCACCTGAACGCGGTCACACAATGTGAGAGTTGCGGTGGCAGGTTCATGCGCGGCTGACTATAATTGACTTGACTCAAAAGGCAAGTGAAACACTTTGTATTACTTTGTAGACACTCGTAATGACAGTTATTTTATTTTCATTATTACTTTTTTCTCGACTTTGGCTTTGCCTGTTATGTCATCGGTCTCTTGTTGAGGAGTGCTTTGGTGAGCGTGAGTGAATGAAAATGAAGGTAAAAGTACTTAAAGTTTTCGTAATTTCATTAAATAGTACATATTTGCATGCGCCGAAAAATATGCTAATTATTCGGTTTGAAATTGCTGATTTAGTTCTGAGCTGGCTTACAAGTCCTTATAAGTATTCAGAAACACAGATAAGTCACAGTGCATAAAATTATTTTTTTTTTTAGAAAAATTCGTTAAAAAATTAGTACGCTATAAAAATTTTGGTGAATAATAAATTTTAAGCAACGAATTTAAAGATTCAAATTTAAAAGATCTTACGACTTTTGGTTGCTTATGTAATAATTCGAGAGCGACAGTGTGGCGATGTTAAATGGTCACCGAGATTGTGCGATCTGACATCGTCAGTCTGGTGTTTTTGGGGCTATGAGAAAGACCGGTCATTTGAATTATCCTTTGTTTCACGTGTGAAGCAAAGGTTCACGCTTTATAATAGAAAGGGAATTCATGCATTTTATTTAATTTTAGTTTCGACGCCGCAAAACGGATAACCCTATCTATACAAAACCATATTTGTTGTTCATTTGGAGTTAGTCATATTAAAAGTTTAACAAATATATATGGTAAGTGTTGAACATAACTATTAATTAGTCGTGGAACTTTTTTGAGCAATTTTATGTTCAGAAACTAACAATTAATTCGATAATCTTAAATTTAATTCCTATAAAAACGTTTTTAATGGAAATGTTGAATAAAGTGAATTTTCAAGGAGTTTTGATCAAATTTATCAAATTTATCTATCAAATTACTCCCTTCATTGCGCAAGCAAAACATCGCTCTTTTTTTCGGCATTTTCCATGACATTTGTCAACATCTCGGGTGGTATCGCAGCGATTTCAGCTCGAATGTTGTTCTTCAGATCGTCCAAAGTCCAAAGTCCT